GCCAGCTCGTGGCCAAGAATCCTTTTTCCCCTTTGAGATATCTGCACTCCGCCTGTCGCCAGCAGGCCCATTGCTGTGTATACCTCCCCGTGATCAAAGAAGCCAAAATTTGATATATGGCACCAGTCCCTGAGCCATTTGTTAACCAGGTCAGTTTTCTTGCCCCTTTCAGTGCTGTTCCCTGCCACTGATGGAATGGAGGAAAACACCACCTGCACCCCTGATGCCTCAACCAGTCACCCCAGTGCCCTGAAGTCCCTTTTGATGGCCTTCCATGCCTGTCTAGTACACGTTAAACAAAATAGTTTAACCACCTATCAAATGCAAAAACTGAATTGTTTTCCAGAGGAAATAATGAACAGATTAAAAAAAAAAAAATAAAAACACACCAAAAAATACAACAAAACAACACTGTAACTAAAATATCACTATCCAAATAATCCATATTCCTGTTTTTTTTTCAGCAATGAAACAATAAAAGCATTGTTTTGTAAGGAAATGCTAGTAGCTGTAACATGAATTGTCAGAAATTATTCTCTGTGCAGAACTCTCTTCTTTTAAAATTTTCAGGTAGGCTAGAGCAATGTTTGACTGATTGGATGCATGTCTAACAGTAACATTTGACTTAAAGCTTTATGCTGATTCATTTCTAAATTAGAAAATACCTTGTCCTCCCACTCTGTAGGGACATTAAGTTTTTAAAAAGTATATTAACATGAAAGTTTTGCCTGCGAAATATAAAATGTAAGTTATCTTCCTCTAGCCTTGTCATGTTCATAACATCCTACTAGAAGAATGTGAATAGATATGCTTTGCAGTACGTCAAGAAGAACAACTTAGTTTTGTCTTATCTCAAGAAATTAATTCAAATTGAAACTGAAAAAAACACCTTTTCTAGGCCTCATTTCTTCAAACCTTCATGCAATCTGAAGAATGCCTGATTCTGACAATTCCATGAACCAAGTAAATATAAAGCTGACATCTACATTTACATAAGTCAGTGTCAATATGGATCTGTGAGAAATAAGTTTTACATGCAGCTAAAGATCTGATAATGAAAGGTTGCTAAGAGTTCTTAGACACCTGAATTAATTTGTAACTTTCTAAATGTCAACAGTGTCACTGTCTTTCTGTGTTCAGATAGACGTAAGTATGATCTTTGTCATACTAGGTTGGAGGTGCTCGTTAACTTATAGATACAAGTGATAAGTAGGTAGTCTATGCTGGTTTGCCTTAAATTTCTAAGCAAAGTTACTTCATTGTACCATCATAAAGGTTATTTGCAGTTATTGAGCTCTGAGTTCATGCTTTCACCAAGGTGCGAAACTGAAAGGAATGGCTACAGTTCCCCTGAGCAAAACATGGAAAATCAGAGCTACAATTTGAAACACAGCAACATTCCCCTAGTATAATACTATACTGAAAGAAAAGAAGAATGTCTGCATCACAATAACCAGGTGTGATGGGACCACATACAAACTCTGTCGTGTCTTCAAAAAACAATTTTCAAGTATGATAAATTTCATCTTAGCAGGCAGGTTATTAGGAAAAAGGAATAGCAACTATCACTAGATAAGTACTATTTACTAGTACTAGTGATGACATGCTGTGTTTCTGGAGATCTTTAATGCCTGAAAATGCTTGTAGAGAAAATATTTTGAAACAGTTTGCAATCCACAAGACAGTAATGCACTAAGAGACAAAAGCATAATAATCTAAATTGATGAAAAACAAAGTGGAGTTATATCAGCTGCATATTAACTCTATTCTTCAGCAGTATAGAACAAAAAATCTGATGTGTTATAGGTGAAATATAGAAATGTGGGAGTCTTCTCAGAGGCAAGGATAAAATCTCAGTCTTTGTGCTGTACTTGCCATGTTGGTTGCCTTTTTCAATTCAGATACT